CAGACAGAAAAAAATGACACAGTTATGCCAGCAAAACTTCTGTTGCAGACACAGCTTTGTTTAGTCTCTGCTGTGCAATGGCAAAGGTTCTCGGTATAAAAAAGCCACGGGGATCTTAAAATATAAGGCTACAGTTCAAAATATTACCCTGGGACTTTGGGAATTGATCTCTAAATGAAGATAACTGATTTAGAAAAGTTATCATCAAGTTCTAGGGGTGCACCAATAGAGATTTTGGGGGCTGATACCGATTGCCAATTTTTAAGGAATTATATTGGCAGATACCAATCTGATTTCCGATACAGCTGTGCGCAGCTGGTAAGTCTGTTGTCATGGAAGGGGAGCGGGGAGGTAAGAGGCGTGGGGTGGCAGATCAATGCCCCTGTGGAGAGGGAGGGAGTGGGGTAGGAGAAGATGCTGCCCAGCTGGGCATGGTGGGGCGCAGGACAGAGCAGCAGCTCGTCTGGGGTGGGGGGGCGGTTCCCGCTGCTGTGCACACACCAGCAGGGCACTGGGGGGGGGCAGCATGTGCCCCCCAGATCTGCGTGGGATGGGGAGTCAGGCTGCAGCTGTGAGCTGGAGCTGGGGCTGTGCTGGGCTCTTCTTGGTGAGGGCTAAGCTCGGGGTGGGTGGCAGTGGCGCTGGGAGGGGGGTACGGGGAGTTGCAGCCAGCCCAAATTTTGCTGTAGCCCCCCCATAAACCCTCCTCCCAGTGCCGCTGCCGCCCACCTGGCACAGTCCCAGCTCTTCCCGGCACATGGGTAGAGGTGGGGGTTGAACCAGAGCTGCACTAGGCTGGCAGTGGCAGCGCTGGGAGGGGGGGCTGGAGGGGCTATGGTGAAATTTGGGGTGGCTGCAGCCCCCCCATAACCCGCTCCCAGCACCATTGCTGCCTGCCCCAAGTCCAGCCCCACCGAGAACAGCTTGGCACAGCCCTGACTCCAGCCCGCAGCTACAGCCCACCCACCCTTCCCTGCCCCGCGAACATGCCCCGACCCCAGGATGAGCCATGGCTCCATCCTGCCCTGCCCTGCCCGGGCAGCACCTGCCCCAGCCCCACTCCCTCCCTCACCGTGGGGGCGTCGATCTGCCCCCCTGCCCCCACATCCCTTCCCTCCCCATTCCCCTTCTACCACCATGGACTTACCATAAAGACTTACCAGCTCCACTCAGCTCTCCAGCTGCTGGGCTGTGCTTCTCACTGCCTGCCTGCTGCGCTGCAGCTGCATGCACGCACAAGCATTTATCAGCCAAATTATCAGCAGCATTGGGCCAATTTCCAATACAGCCACTTTTTTTTATATCAGTGCCGATCCAATACTGGACCCATGTATTGGTGCACCTCTATTAAGTTCTGCTCTGTCTTGCAAGTTGGTTGCCCAACTATGAAAATGGCAACAGATGTTATCATATGGCTGTTATAAGTGTGCACTGTCTTGTGCATCAGAGCGCCTACTTAAGCCTTATTCCATCAAAGTCAGTATGAATCTTTTCAGTGGTGCATCACACCCTAGAGGGAAAAACAGCTTGTAGGCTAGGAGCAGAACTGGGTGGGGAAGGAGACCATCATTTGGTTCCTGTTTCTGTCAGACTCCTGATGTGACCTTGGGCAAGTTTAGTTCTCTGTTCTCCATCTACAAAATGGGGCTAAAAAACCTCCCCCTCAAACACAGTGCATGTCCTTATCTATGGAAGGGCTGTCTCTTACTGTGACCTACCACAATGGGAGGAATGGTTCAGGCTGGGACCTTCTATGAGCTACCATAATAAAAAATATTATGCAACATCACTCTTACCAGATGGCTACCAAGCTGGCAGTCCTGCTTGTCACTTCACCGAAGTTAACACATTTGCACACATCAGCTTCTTTTGCAAACAGCTCTCAGTTTTAAAGCTCTCCCTGATGTACTGGGGCAGGTATCCTTCAGAGGAAGCTTCGCATCTCATAGAACACAAAAACAAAGACTATACCCTAGCAAACCCTCCCAATTTCAAAGCACTCCAGCAAATGCAGAGAAACTAGAACAAATTAAGGCCTAGTTAACTGCATTATCCTGACTATTCATTCTCCCTCTAGTTACAAGGACACAGAGAAGGTAGCTTCATCTTTTTTAAATTCTGTTCTTTAGCTCATGGTTTATTACAACTGCTGTGAAGCTCGACATTAAACTCAATTTCCATAATGAAACCTATTTTTTAAGAGAACAAACAGCAGTAAAGTATTTGGTCTGAGGAAGGGAAAAAGATTCATAGACAAAATCTAAGGACTTCAGAAACTGGTCCAGCATACGAAATAAATGAAGCTGACATTCTGTGATAGCCAACCATAATAGTATCTCTTTAAAATAAGGACTCGATCTATTCTACCTGCTTCAAAAGGTATCACCAACAACGTCCATTCTGACTTGGACAATGTAGCTGCTAGAGTGATTGCATCTCCCAGGAAGCAGAAAGGGGCCCCCATGGACAGAGTGTCTGGACTGAAATCCTCTGTCTTAGAGAGTAAGGTACCCACACAAGCCAATCTCCACCATATGCTACAAAGTGCCTTTCCTCTTGGCCTCCAAAAGGCAGCGAGCTACTGGATTTCTTGAGGAAATGCCCTCCAGATAGGTTTCCTGTATGCCCTGGGTAGGCTGCCAGAGAGGTGTTATGGAACATGCCCCCACTCCCCACACATATGCATTGTGAAGTTGATGCCTTAATTTATGATCCACGGGTAGGCAGTAGTACACTTGCAGGAACCTCCTCCCTTTTAAACACTTAGCTATACCTGTCAGGACACCTGCAGGGCAGAGGAGGAGACAACACCTGCCATTCTTTGCTCTGAGGGCATTACATGTAAATGAGACCACCACCCCCACAAATTCTTATCTGTATTGGTGATGGTCCATTGAAGAGCCTTCCTCAGATGTAATTACCACTCTCTGACTGCTGCAACTACAATTTCCTTATCATTTATCCCCCATCATCTACTCAGTGACTTTCCCTTGGCCTCCCATATCAGCCTCTCATAAAGAGATACCTGGTATTATTGCAACTGGCCTTTAATGGGTTCTATGACTTAGTGAGGTGAATGGCCAACAGGACCACAAGTTATAGGACTGGGGATCTGGGAAAACTTATTCCTATCTGCAAATCTAACATCCTATGAAGCCACAGTACCTTGGTTCCCTTTAGACTGCTCATCTTCCACTTCAAGTTCAAATAAACCACAGCCAGCGGTATCTACGAGCAGTAATGGTATCCTAGTCTCTTCAGTAGAAGCAACTCCCGGCAGGTCCCTAATAGGTTGTTTGAAAAAGAGCGAGTTAACAACACTGAAGCAACAAGGAACATTCTGCTTCTGCTTCTGCCCCCCCCAGTGAATAAATTCAGTCCCAGGGGTGAGAGAGAGGAACTGTTAATAGCACTTCCTATGGACAAGAGTGCAAAAGCAACAGCAAGGCCCACTCAGTGGGCTCAAGTCTCAGAGGCTCTGTATGACGGCTGGTGCAAAAAAGCAATCACAAGACTGGTAGTCCACATCTCCTATACTATAATCTCTACTCTGCTACTGACCTGCTATGTGGCCCTAGAGAGCACAGTTCATTCCCTGCTTTACTTTCTCCATCTTTGTTATAAAATGTCTCCCTGATGCCCTGCTTCTCACCTTAACACTGGGCCTCTTACATGTGTAATCACATGCCTGAATTGTTTGTTGCTTGCAGGCTCATGTTAAGAGTTTGTCGGTCTCAGCAGCTCCTGAATGAACCTATCTAACTCCTTGGCCAGAGTGTGTTGCATGTATTCAGACAGTGCCTGATCTACAGAAGAGAGGGTGCTGTCACAACACGCAGTTTAAGAGCTGAGGCTGTATCGCATGCCACTGCCTGGATTCAATCCCTGGCATTGACCAAGACAGTGGCTGCCTCGCCTGCTTTGTAAAGGAGAAAATGTCAACAATTTCCAAGATAGTATTGTCCTGCAGGGTCAGAAATGTATACCTGATACGAGCAGACATGAATGCTTTGTGTAGGATCTACATTATAACATCCTGTTAAATTACCTCGACAAGCCCCATAGAGGGCATAATGGCCGTTTGATGGCTGGTCCTTCCCAGCCTTCAAAACTTTCTGATTCTGCAATACAACACACCATTTCCCCCCTTTTTTAATGAATGGCAATCACTTTTAATGCCAGTCAAAGTATGGTGTGTGGGATTTCATGTCTCACATAAATAGCTTCAGACAGTAACGACATACAGATCTAGGATTGTACTGCAGCAGCTTTCAGTTTGTAGTGCTGCGAAGAGAAAGAAGTGTCCCTAAAAGCGCTCTATCACAGTTATCAAATCATTGTGCCCCATTAATCAAGGCAGAATGCACGGTACAGGTAACCACAGAGGAATTCAGTTCTCACAACATTTCTACATCTAAGGCAGCTACATCAGAAATTGCATTTTGATATCAAAGACACTTGTTTGTTGCAGTCACAGGCTGCGAACAGACTGCAAGATAGATGCACTGCAGCTGGAAATCAATAGAAGGCTGGGCAGCTCTAAGGCAATTATACAGCAAGTCCGAATGCAGTGGCACTGCAGTGACATCTGATGGTGCAGTTGCCACAAGAGCAAAATCAAGGTTATTCTGATGGCTGCTTGATCCAAGCGTCCCAAACCCAGATATCTCTGCTGGGTGGTGTATCTGCATATAGGAGCAAGAAATCGTTACTGTCCCAAACACTTTACAACCCAAACAGAAGGGACAGACAATAGAGAACAGAAAGGAAGGGTTATCCCCATCTTACGGACAAGCAAACTAACACTGAAGATGCCACTGAAGCCAGGATTTTGCTCAGAGAAGTAACGTGGCTTTCTCAGCATGTCTGAGGAAATCCGTGCAAAGCTAGGAGCTGAACTCAGGATTTCCCGAGTCCCCAGACAAGGCCTTAAATCCCGGCCCTCTGCAAGCCAGTAGCTCCCCAGCTCTGTAAGTGTGTTCTTGTACATTTGTATTCCACCAGTTCACTTTGCCTTCAGTAGACTCTTTAAGGAGATTACTCACTTCATCAACAAAAGAAATCTCCACTCCTGACAAATTCATTCATCTCCTATCTGGAGACAATCCTTTTGTAGCACAAGCCTCTGGATGTACATAAACACAGACACAAGAGTCCACTCAGAAAAATCCCAGCTAAGGTTTTTCCTGGCCCATGAGTCAAACCCAGGCAGAAGCACTAAGTAGGAGGGCAGCCTGATGGAAAACCAGGATGAGGGTTGCGCATCAACCATTAGGTTTCAGTTCTTCCACTGAAAGAAGTGGTTGGCAGGATCTGGCAGAGATTGTCTGCACACCCAATGTGGCCCAGGGCACAGCTCTGAAAGTGCTTGCTTCTTGCAAGCATGCAAGAGGTTTGGGGCAATGGGAAAGGGTTTGGGGCAATCTCTGAAATTACTATCCACAGTCCTTCTCCTCCCACTCCCCATCCCCTCCCAGGTTCTGAGCAAAGATACATCACCATCTCTCACTGAAATATTTCCTCTCCTCAGATCCGGAGGACAGACTTTGCTAAACACAGACATTAAACAGCTAACCAGCTCTTGGTGGACTCTCCATCCTTGCAGGTTTTTAAGACCCGGCTAGACAAAGCTTTGGCTGGGATGATCTAGTAGGGGATGGTCCCGCTTCGAGCAGGCGGTTGGATTAGATGACCTCCTGAGGTCCCTTCCAACCCTCACTTTCTATGTATTCTATATCTGCCCTGCTCTCCCTCAAATTGGCATCTGCTTCCACGTAAACTGAAAGGCTTGCCTCACACAGACAAGGCTATTAAAACGATTCTTTGAGTACTCCTAGCAGGCAAAGAATATACTTGCAGCCTCTTTCTGTTCCCAACAATCTCAAACTTGGGAACGTTTGCTTCAGCAGAATCATCAGCTGCATATATCTTTCAAGAGAGAAATATCACCCTCTTCTGAGACAGGAGAGGTTGCAGCAGCACATGTTGTTACCTTGGGAAAAAAACATCTGTGGTGGTTATTGAAAGGCTTACCTCTGGAGTCAAAGGTGAAGTACCAGTGCTACAAGCAGTCTGGGCTGCAATGAAAGTATCTTTCCCTGCAGTCAAGACAGTCACTGTAGCCAGCACCCCAGGTCTGATGTACAAATACAGTATCCCACTGACTTCTACTCTTCTATGAAAGAAGGTCATATAATCTCCAGCATCTTGTTTACCAAAGAATTAGTGGAACATAGTAACGGTGGGCATAAAGTGCTTCTCGGGGACAGCCTGTGGTTTTGATCCCAGGTCTCTTGATACTTGGGACTTCCACTCCTGGAGCCATGCGATCAGGGGAGAATATTTTCAGTAAGTTTCTAGCCCATCTGATAGCAAAGAAAATCTTGTTAATGTGGTCATAATATAGTCTTAAATCTCAGAATGCAGAGGGCCAACAAAGGGAATCTAAAATGTGCTACGTTTTAAAACTCTCATGGTTTTAAGCCAATTTCATGCTTTCAGAGGCTGTGTCCATATGATTTCCCTCTAACCCCAGGATCATCACAAAATATGCCCCACCTGCTCACACACACCAGAGACCCAGCCATTAGGCAGAGTAGACAGATTGGAGCAGACCTGGGTGCCTGCTCCCCAGCACTACTCTTGGGCTCTTCTAAAAGACAGCCTAAGCATGACTCTTGGGTGCACATCTGGTGCCACCCTGAACCACCTGTTCTGCTCAGCTGTCAATCTCTGGTGCCCTTGTATGCGTGGAGGGTTACTCTGCCTTGTCACTGTCTTCTCAGGGCCAGAAGAGAGGCTATGACATGGCAACAGGAACAGGCTTATTATTTGCAGCCAGTCAGTGGCGATGATACCACTCTCTGGCTTCAGAGATCTCTATGACAGTGGATAGGCATGGGAGCTTCCTCTTACTAGTCCAACTCTCTGGCTTTCTAAGAGTGCTATCACTTGCTGGTAAGACTCAAAGGAAGGTCTGGAAAGAAAGGGTTGTTCCTTAAGAAACTCTAGGACCAAGAAGGGATGCCGGGAGTAGAGAAAGCCTATCCTTTTGATACAACCAACCCCATTTCACTAAAACTCCCCAAAATGTGCAGCATGGGCATGACTGTGAACTATCTTATTATGGCAGTGCCTAACAGCTCTAAGCCAGGATCAGGGCCCCATTATGATAGACACAGAACAATCCGACACAATACAACACAGTACAACACTGGCAGTATCCTACAGGTAAGTAGTCAAACAACCAGAGAGTAGGAGAACAGTACTGATAAGTGAGCTGGCATAGTTTACTGTACTTGCATAACACACCAGCCAATTTTGGAGATCAGGTAGCTTTTAAAGGGGCTGCACTCCAAGTGGCACAGTTCCTTTCAAGAAGCCGGCATTCATTTCCCTGAGCTCCAGGGTTCAGAACCTGGAGTGTGGGCACTCCTATGGCTCCCCTGCTGGGATGCCAGCCTGCTCCATCCAAAGCCATCTCACACCAAGACCTTTCTACAGGGAGGGCCACATTGGGCAGTGCTTTTGCTCTACTCTAGGCATTTCCTGACTGACACAAAATGGTTTAAGTTTCAGCCTTGCCCAGAAAACCACTTCCGTTCACTCTTCTCCACACAGAAACTACTGCCTCCGGTCTGGCTGGAAAGCTTTTCCCAGTAGCTTTCATGCATGCCCACTGGTCCTATCATTTATGCTGTGTTTAAAGTAGCAAACGACAGCTAATTATTGCAGCATAAATATTTCAGGGTTCCTTTTCTTTTTCTGTTTTGCTGCAATGTCTGACTCACAGCAGCAAGCCAAGCCTTCAGATCTTCTCCAACCTACGCCTGGCACCCAAGAAACAGTCACATCAGTTGACTTCATGTACTGCCTGCTACTGCTTGTATGCACCTGATGTGCTCACATTCATTTAATCAATGCAGAGTGGGACTCCATCAGATTGTGATAGGTTGCAAAACTGGGAAGCCCATATGACCTCAGAATCATCTTTGCAAGCAGTCTTCAAATTGTGTGTAAAACTCCCAGACAAAAAACTGAAGTGAGACTGAAAATTGTAAATTTGCATCAAGAAATTGAAGGAAATAGGAAATATTTCTGAAGGGAGGGGATTTGCCTTATTTTAAAATTCAATTAAATTTACTCTTAAAAAACAAGAAAAGCAAGCAAATAAAGACAAAGGATCAAGCTTCCTAACAACCTAAAATCAACCTGAAGCATGAGTTTCAGTTGTTATGGAAAGACAGACTTTCTTCATGGCAAAGGTAATGGTATAGCGCAAGGG